TCAACCAACTTGCAGAGCTAATGTTAGTTTAATTATCTCGCTAGCTATAGCTGATAAGTTCGATAGTTCTGATAAGCTGATAGTTTGCTATAGGAAAAGAGATCATTTCAAAATAGCTGGTTGTCAGCTAAATATACCTCCAAAATACCTCCAATACCTACCTCCATCCAAAATCAAAGACTCACTTTTCTCTGCCCCCATTATCAATGGAAACTATAGAGTGCATTGGACCAGTGTATTTTTGGACACTGTAAAAGAAGTTATGTCATAAAAAGTAATGAAAAACATCATTTACCACTTGAAATACTATTTAACAGTATGTACTAAAACATTTTGTTTGCCATTGATGGATACAAATTCTCTGAAGATGTTATTATTTACATAAACACCATGAACTGTTATTGACTACACTACCCATCCTAACACACAAACGTTCTACATAAATAACCTGACCTTTTCTTGTGTGAGTTGATGTCATTTATTTCTCTGTTTTCTGGCTGTTAAACACCCAGTCATCTAAACCTAGAAACGGTTTTTCCATGTTCGACTGGTCACTTTCATTTATAAACACAAGTGAATTGAAATAGACAGTTCTCTGTAGGAATTGTTCTCATCCCTTTTCATCTTATCCAAATGACTCTTTATGCTGAGAAAGAATACCCTTAACAGCCCCTTGGTGGGACTGATATTTCAATCATCACTGCATAAAACAACAAAACAAAAATGAAAACAATAGGAGGAAAACAAAACAGAGCAACAGGGACAGAAAAACAGTAACAGCTGGGAACATTAAGAGGTCGCTATCCTTATGTGACCACCTCACAGCCAGGACCGACACCGGCACGCAAAGGGGTCATGTCTCCTGACAGGTTCTGTATGGGAGCTTGTTATGAAGGGGAGGAAGCGGGACAAGAAAGGACACACATCTGTGTATTTGAGATCCTCTGAAACGTTTAAGGGTTCAGTACACTTCAAACAAAGGATTGATTCACATGTTGTCTGACAATGTGTAAGGACAAAAGTGTTCTGTTCCCTCTGTATATGCAGGTATGGACCTCTAAGAGTATTGGGTGAGGCTGATAAATAATGAACTCAAGAAGGGTGTAAACTTAATTTAATTATTACTGATAATTGTGTTGATGCTACGTGTGTATTTTTACAGTCAATAAAGAAAACTCTATCAACTCCTATGTATGTTGAATTATGACAGTAGCAGATCTGTAGCTGTAAAAGGTGTAGCTTAACCAAACAGCTGCAGCTAGTCTCTCCAAGTGTGCTCCTCCTGGCTTTATTACACTGCTTTCCGATCTCCTTCCAAGAACTCAGTGTTTTTTGAACGTCTTTGTCTTGACAAAATGAATCATAAAAATGGGACAATCTCTGCTCAGAGGCATCCATGTTGTTCCATCACTTGTAGTGTTGTCACAACAATAGTTGTGTGGAAAAAAAAGTAAGCGTAATAGAGAAGAGTCTACTCCCCACTTCCACGTAGCTGGCCATTACGCCTTTTTCACTGAGGACATTTTGACATGTCACAGTAGCAAAACCACAGATGGAAATCATTTTTAAAAATGGCTGAGTTCTGTTTAGGTGATTCAAGTTCAGGGCCCTGGTATTAGAGATGGGAATTACAGCTCTTTGAAGGGAGCCGGATCTTATGGCTCCATTCCTTTCCTCAAACCATTGTTCTTTTTTCTTTGTGGCAGGAGGCCCACCCTGTCAAGGCGAATGTCTGTCCCTGACTGACTGACTGACTGACTGACTGAGTGATGGAGTTACACCACTGCTGCGTTTTTAAGTGGATATTTACAAGACAAAAGTCGTCCAAATATTCTGCTTTATTGTTGCTTTTGTTGCTGAAGTGCATCCGAATGCTGCTGCTTGGCTCATGTTTTATCTCGTGACTGGCAGGTTGGCACTGTTCACGTGTTAGTAACACCACTGTTGTTCAGGTTGCCCTTGTTAGCTCACCTAAGAATCTTTGGTGAGTATGTCAAATCACAGTGCACTATACCAGCTGTGCAAGTACAAACTTGTAACTATAGTGTTCCCCATCAGTATGTAATTGAAGGCATTATTTGTATATAACCAATCTTTCACTGGACCACCATAATGGCACTGGCTGTGGATGCCAGGGACTCTGTGACTCAGCTGCAGAGCCGTGATTGATCCCCATAGGGAAATTCACTTTTGGCTCGTCAGACTGCACCCTGAGCCACTGAACAGAACCACCAGAGTCAGCACCTCACTCAGGGGTTGGCACTATAACCAAGCAGATGCTCTCTGACATAGGGACTTGAACCTAGGACTGGGAAATTAACAAAAAAGAATCGAAACCGACATTAGAACCTCTCACCGACGCATTCATTCGTTATTATTGTTTGTTTATCGTTTGTTCATTTATCGTTAATTGTAATTGAGGTAAAAGTTTGAAATAATCGCGATATTGATTCGAAGACATATAGCCCAGCCCTACTTGAACCCTGGTGCTCTGGTTGGAGGGCAGTTTTTTTTAACCACTGGGTCAATCTGCTGCCTTTTTACAGCCTGCATCAGGTGGGAGTGAGTGGTCGCCGTCTATTTTAGCTGACTCTGTCCTCCATTTTCCTAATGAGTTTCAAGATGGCTTGTCAGTGCTAGAGTAAAATACACAGACTACAAACAAGCACGTGCAAGCTCTCTTGCAAACAGGCAGACCCACTTACAGATAATGCAGGAAAATACAGTGCACTGTGCACACACAGACGCACACTCCTCTCCCATGAGACATGTGCTATCTCCTAACAGTTGGATCAGATGTTTCCTCCTGATCTCTTTCCTCATGTACCACAGTCTGCTTCTCTCACATCTTAGAAAGTGGCTTACACTCAGGAATAAAACAATGAGTTTTCAGGCTCACTGCTCACGTCTTTTTATTTGAAACTTCCCATGCTTGGTTACATGGTAAGCACCTTTCATGCTCCCTAAGATGCATGAAAGTCATTGGAAATGCACTTTGTCATTCTTTTTTCTTCCTCTATGTTTCACTGCTATCCCAAATGCAAATGATCTCAGTAAGATTGCAGTTATGGTGAACTACCGTGCCTCCCTTAAGTTAAGCCATACTGTCATCTGTACATCAGCCTCATAGCCTCCCTCATTAGCTCTCCTTCAGTTTCAGTCTCATGCTACTGTATCTCTCTCCCTGTCAGCACTTTCCCCATTAAATTCACATTTCAGCTCCACCCCCTCCCATTTCTTTCTCTCTCTTCCTCTGTGCCTGCTTCATTCCCTCTTTCTTTATTTCTCATCTCAGTAAGTTTTCAGCTGGGACCTGTTTTACCCTCTGTAGTATAGCCCCTGTAACCCCCTGGGAAGGCCCATCACCGTGTTTGCATGTGTATATATATGAGAGAGAGAGAAAGAAAGAGAGAGAGAGAGAGAGAGAGAGAGAGAGAGAGCGAGAGAGAGCGAGAGAGAGCGAGTCAGCGAGAGACACTTTGTTCTTACTATCTTGGGTCCAAGAGTCCTCTCAGGAACAGGAATTAAAAACTCAGAAGTGGGCACATTTTCCGGCGTGTGAAAGTGTTTGTGTTTGTGCCTGCAAACATGTATGTGCACATATGTGTGTGTGTGTGTTTGTGTTAAGGGGGTAAAATGATGTTAAGCCTTCAGTGTGCCTGCCATCAGTCTAATTTTTGGCTAAATACAACTGCAAAACTCCAACTTGGCTGCACTGCTCGTGTGAGTGAGTTGAAAGTAAGTGTGTAGGCTACTGCATATGTGTGTGAGTGTGTGTGTGTGTGTGTGTGTGTGTGAGAGAGAGAGTTTTAGAGAGAGAGAGAGAGAGAGAGAGAGACGCTTGAGGAAATGCAGAACTGGATTTGTTTGAGTGGCCTTGCTTTGAGAAGTGCGTGAGGAGGTAAAGGGAGATGATATGAGTTTGATTCTCCCATGGCACCTCTGATTGCATAATAACTGTTTCCTTAGAAATCCAAACTGTTCTTTTGTGCTAAATCCAGTCAGTCAGCCCCCTGTTTACCAACTATGGCAAAAAGCAAGTGTGTCCTGACAGCAAAGTGGCATCACATTACACCCTTTAAATACAGTGTCTTCCGCTCTTCAGCTGTGAATTAAATAAATTTGCTGAGATGCCAGAAAAACAGTTTCACTTCTGTTCAATTTGGCTCACTGGGAGAGAGACTGTGTGGCGACAACCAACTGTGACTTAATCAATAAATAAGAAAACAAATTTCATTAAATGAGATATGAATAGTAGTGAGTGAAATGAATGCAAGAAAAATACCATATTTCGTTTCTTAGCCCTTATTAATAACCAGTAGCTCCTTTCTCTAATGGAAAATAAATTGCATCCTACAGCAGAGGTTTTCATTCCCAGAGCCGTGCTGGTTTTCTTTCTGTTTGTCCAATCAGGGAGGGACTTATACCTGGGAGGCTAAGTGAATGCAATCAACTGGCAGGTAGAATAGAAAAAACTTGCAGTAGCGTACTTTGTGTCCTGAGAACCAGGGTTGGCAAAAGAGCCACTGACCTACTGGAGGATATGCATAAAAAACCCAACACCAGTCTAGGAAACAGGCAGCCATGTAGAGTGAAAACTCACAACACATGTGACATGTGTCCCTCTCTGAAAGGTGAGGTTCTCAGGCTTAGTAAGGAGATCTCTGCCAGAGGTTACATTCGGTCTCCATAAAAATAAAAAAGGAAATTCACCAGCATTTCTTAAATATCTTCCAAACACTGAATGTGCTCAGCTAAACTGAGATTTAACTCTTATCTCTGCAGGTATGCAGAACAACCTTTCACAAAAACATATCAATACAAGCACTGACAGTCACATGGGGGCTTCCTGAAAAAGGACCTTATGCTGTGGGAGCTCACTAGATGAATGAGGGCATGCATGTGGGATGAAGTGTGGGATTCCCTGAAACATACACTCTCCACTCTCTCTCTCTCTGTCATCCTCTCTCACACACACACACTCTGTCCAGCCTGCATACCTTCCAGGGTCACCTCCTTCCCGGCCCGTTTCAGCGCCTGCACAGCCTCGTCGTGGGTCGCGTCCCGCAGGTTCATACCGTTCACGGACAGGATGGCGTCCCCGACGTACAGAGCCTGGGTCTGGTCCGCTGCGAGCCCCTTGAATATCTTGCTGATGAGGATGGGCATTTTATTCTCCTTCCCCCCTTTGATGCTGATCCCGAGCCCCCCGATCTCCTGCTTGGTCACCTTAACGCACCGCTTTCTGTTGGCGATCGCCTCGGGTACTCGCTCCGGGAGGTCTGTGAACGCGGAGCGCAGAGTTTGGGGTCCGTTGTTGGAGTTGGTGTTATTGTTGTCCAGGTAAGATCCGTTGGCAACGCCGTTAGAGTTGACATTGTCGGTCACGTTGTCGTTAGCGCTGCTCTCTTCGCAGCTTAACGTGAGCGCTTCCTCGTTCAAGTTGACCAAAACTTTGTGCCACCGCTCCCGCACCAAAACCTCCACAAATCCACTTTTTTGCACTCCGGAGGCACCAGAAACTCCCGTCGCTATTACCACCGCCATCTTTGGAGCATTTCTTTAAAATAACATGTGATTTAGTTCCCAGCGCACTCTCACACACCAACTTCCACCCTGTCTCCCTCACGCTCAAGCTGGACTTTGCCCCTCAGAAGTTTTCTGCGGGACTTGTCAAGCGTCCCGACCAACCAGCCCGAGCCCTTTGGGCACAGGCTGCCCTCCGCTCCGCCTGCCTGAGATCCTATCTGCTGGGTGGAGTTTACTCCCCCCGCCGTCAGCGATCCCATCAGATCCTGCATGCACAAAATGTCTTCATCATTTCCCCAGAATATTTGAGACGTGACAAGTGATGCATTGGTAAATATAACAAGTACCAAACAATCTTTACAGAACATCCAGTACTTTATCAGTTTCACTTGCATCATGTTGGTGACATTTACCATGAAATACAGCCTCCTGTGATGTTATATGTATTGATGTATATACTGGCCATAGAAAGAAATCTGTTTCATGAATAAAACCATCATTTTGTAGTGTGCGTTCTTTGGCCACGTGGAGATGGAGATGTGAAAGAAAACTCGACCTTTCCATTTTGGTTTACTGTTTTACAACATTATTTTAACTAAATAGACTAATTCAAAATGTCACTGACTTTTACAGCCTTCAAATGTCCATTGGGTCCCACTCTGCTGTTCGCGTTCACGTTGCAGAAGTGATCGGTTACGCGCGTACAGGAATGCGCCTGTGCCGGTTTTTGATGTTTCAAAGAGAGAGGGAGCGAGGGCGTATTACTGGGGAGCTCCAACACGGAGAGACCCCCCCTCTGAAACTTTGCTCTCCATCTCTATAATTATTATTATTCCAAAGGACATCCTCTCCTCGTGCCCTGTCAATCCCACTGGCTCGCAAGTAAGTGAACTGAGAGCGTGAGGGTGCAGCCAGTGTTATCAGTAAAATGACTGGAGCCGCTGAGTGCCCCCCCTGGCCAGACGGACCGTCCTTCACCGGGATGACCCCGGTTCAAGCGCTGTGTGTGTGTGTGTGTGTGTGTGTGTGTGTGTGTGTGTGTGTGTGTGTGTGTGTGTGTGTGTGTGCGCGCGCGCGCGAGCGGCTGAGAGGACACCGGCAGCTTCAATCTGCAGGACCTGGTGATATTAAGGGGAAAACTCACCAAGCAGCTGCTGTGACTTCAGCGAGGGCTTTAAGTACCAGGAATCTTCGGCATTTTGCATGTAACACTTCGCTCTATACATTTGCATTTTCTTTCAAAAGCTTTCACTTTGAATCACGGCATCCTTGCTTAATAAACCATGCTTCACACTGATCTGTTAGAAATGTAGCTGCGACACCTACTGGTGACACTGTAAATTGACGTTTACCTGTCGGTCTGGCATTACACTAAATTCAATATGAAAGCCCACTCTAGTAAACAAAAAGATACACATATACCAAGCAATAATGAACAAACTGCATGTTGGGAGTTTTTAATTACCTCCATAATTTTAAGATCAACTTTTGCACTTATATTTCTGTAGTGACATAATGTCTTGTCCCTGGTGAAATAAAGATTAGTCATCCAAATTAATAATCTAAAGATTATTAATATTTACTTTATTGAACAAAACATGTTATAATTCATTTAAATGCACAATAGTGTTCCATTGTATTTTGATTAATATACTCAGGTTAAGGTTTTTCATAGAATATTCAAACTTCACAAATTTGACTCAGTTGAACATGTTAAAACTCGAGTTACACCAAGCTGCTTGTCAACAAGCTTTAAATCACCTCTTTTCATGCGTGCATGGAGACTTTCTTTAAGGACAGGGGTTCAGAAATTCTACTTTTGGATATCCAACATATGAAGGAGGCATGGGAGACTAGAATATGTGCAGTATATAAGGTGCTGCTCTGTCCTGTTCTCTTCATTGCTTTATATTAATGTGTCAATGTGTGACTTGGCCAATTCAGCATGCTGCTGAATTTAAAAAGATTGAAAACAATAGTTGATCTACATTTTAACTTATATCAAAGGATACATGTAATTATTTTTAGAAATAAATGCATTATACATATATATACTGTACATATATATATAGAATTTAATATATGTCAGTGTATGTGTCATAATTAATCAAATTGTGTAATCATGGGAATATATAGTACAGGAATGCTGTACAAAGCTTCCTCCCTGCCCTGTAAACCACACTAGATCATTACTACTGAACTGCACTGAAGAGGGGATTAGCTTATTTATTTTGAGAGAGAAACAGAAATAGGAAGAATGTTTTGGTTTAATGAGGTGTAGGAGCTACAATTGATTTTTACTTTTATATGGAAATGAGTTATCGGATTTAATGCACATTCTTTGTTGTGGTAATGACCTTCAAAACAAACAAACAAACAAAGAATGTAATCTTATTAAAGGTGATGGTATTTAAAGGTTGTTAATGAATCTTTTTTAAAACCTCAGTCAGCCAGCATTTTGATTACATAATTTTTTTCCCCACTGCAGCAGGGAGCAGCGACATAGACAGGTATGGTTACACACAACCACACAGTCACACATGGGTTTTGTGTTATTGGTGTATGAACAGGCTCTTCAGAGTAATTAAGAGAGTCAAGTGTCCTGCTCAAGAGCACTTCATGCTTCCTCCCTACATGGTTTTTATATAGAATATGAGATTGGTTACCAAATGAATGTCATGACCCAATTTATTTCTGACTGAAAAACAGACTGTAGAACTTTATTCCCCCTTGGTAATGTTCTCTCCTCACCCACTCCTCTCCACCTTCTGTCATCCTCTTTATTCTAGCTTTGCTCTTTTGGTTTCTTTCTCTACCTCCACAACTCTTCATCTCCTTTCCCATTCTCCATTAATACTTCCTTGCTCTTTTTGTTTGTTGTAGTTTCAAGATTTTATCTGCACCTGACAGTGTGGAAAATAGGAACAGATGAACCAGCTTTGTTTAAGACACATTCTTTCTGTCAACAAAAATAATTTATATCAGCAATATTTACAAGTCTGAAATAATCTGGAATAAAGAGAGACAACACATCATAAATTATATCAGTAACCACAGTTAGGGGGTTACATTCAAAGAGAACTTTGTAAAACACGTGAACAACCTCCACAGGCTGCATGTTTAGACATTTTCTGAGATTCCTCCTCTCTTCAATAATTCAACTTTATCACTTGTCCTTATACTTTTCCATCTATCCATTCACTTGTCCCTCCCTCTCCCACATCTACCTCATCTCTCTGTTTCTCTTTGCTAATATCACTGTAGGAGAATAAAAAAGCAATAAATCATTGATGGTTGTTAGCTTTAAAACCTCTCTAGATATTTCGATGGTCCCTCTGTTTGGTTCATTCTGCTGTTGCTGTGCTCTCTATCTCCTGGGCTGCAGACCAATTAGGGGCTTAATCAGCAGCATGGGGCACACCTGGGCCCAGTGCACCCATGCATATAAGCCAGAGCACTCAGTCAGTGTAATGGGGGAGGCAGATATCCTCACCCTCACACATTTCTGCATTGTTTTGTCACCTGTCTTTGTTGCAGCCTAAGAGCTGGGTTTTTGCAGGTGGAGTGGGGCTTTTTACTACAGTTTATTCGCATAGCCTTTGTAGGTGGAGTTGGTCATTTGTGAATTAAGTGTGTAATCAGTGTAGAATGGTAAGTTGCATAAAGTGCTACAGGGATACACTTTTGGACAGATATATTCTGTTTTAAGTAAGTTGTCAATGTTGTGGTTTTGGTGTTTTGTAAATTTCTGGGGATTGTGGGTTGGAGTGTCTGTTTTTCTGTCAGATAGTAGGTACTTAGGTGTTTTTGTGGCACAGTTGAATACAGGCTCTCCTTTTACATTGGTAGATTTAGTTTTTTCACAGCTTACCCCCCTGGTTAGGCTGTACAAACAGGTTTCCTGATGGTGTTGAGAGCTGCTGGTATTTGTGCAGACCACAAGCAGAGCAGCATGAACACCTGTGCTCAGTAAGCCTCATGAGAAAAAGCATCATTATGATCATAAGTCTGATTATTGCATATTAGGGCTGCAGTTGGACAAGTCGTGGAGTACTTGGAGGCGCTTGATCTAGAGCCCTATGCTGTCAATGTTTGTTTCCAACTTGCTGGACTTTAACTTTCCTCTTTTGACTTTCCCTTCGAGCTTTCCAATTTGCTTCACCAGAGAGGAGTTGAGGGCATGGCAGACTGGCCTTGTTGGAGAGACCAAGGGCAGTTACTTATTTTTGATAAGAGCACACTTTATATTTATTTGTTGTCTTATGGTTTGTGGTTGCTTCTCATGGGGGGGAGTGGCCTCTCTGCTTGGTTCACTCTGTTGTTGCTATGCTTTCTGCCTCCAGGGCTGCAGACCAATTAGGAGCTTAATCAGCAGAATGGGACACACCTGGGCCCAGTGTGCTGATGCATATAAACCAGAACAGCATATATTACATACAGCAGGCTATTTCCTGAAGAAGGTTCAGGAGATAAAAGAAGTAGTGGACACAGATGACAAAGATGAAGCAATAACAAATATCAGATCTTCACCTCTTTAGCCTTGATCCAAAGGTGACTGGCTGGATCAGAGAGTGATTTGAGGAGAAGCAGAAAGACAGGCTCAGGTGCTGGTCATAGAGCTGGAGAGGGAAATCAATGAGCTCCAGAGGAGCGGCACTAAGCTGGAGCAGATCTCAAGAGCTTCCTGTCGTCCTCTCCCTCTCCACACAGCACGGACTGGTCTGACATCAGTATCAGTGGTCAGCACTATTTGGAGGACCTGAGCTATGGTGAAGATGAAGCGTTCTGTGTAATGATTTGATGCATCATTTATTCATGTTTCCTGTTTCCAGTTGTTTTTTTTTTTTTTTTGTTTTTTTTCCTGTATTATGTTTTGACAGAGAAATCATCAAAGTTGATTTCTTGGTCAAATCTGCAAGTTAGAAACAAGGATGTGAGCCAAGTATTTGCCTAGACATGTTTTCCCTTATTAAAACAAGTGTTCTCTTGACCACAGGAGATTACACTCAAAGTTTTGCTGGACACCAGTGATGTTCATCTGTGTGTGGTGGCAACAGTGAAGTGGCTCGCTAGGGTCTGTCCTGTTCCAGCACCATGGACAGAGTTCTGCCACTGAAGCCACCTGTGGTTTCCCAAAGCCCAGCTGACACAGGAAGAGTCATATTTCCTAATTTACCTCCTATCAGTTAATCATTTCTGAAATGAATCAGCCACTATAAAAATTGAGAGGATCTTCAGTGCCTCAGTCTGCACTTAAGGGAGAGTAAACACACTGATACCAGATCAGCAGAGTGGGATTTTATATTCAAGTTACAGATTGAACATCACTGTAGTGAGGATGGGGAAAGAGGCTCTTCAAATACACCACTAGAGGGAGCAATCTATTCACCTTTCATACAACACGGTTTAGTGAGAAATATTTTACTTGAGCCACCACATTTTAACCCTTTTATTAGTTTTCTTTTTTTTAAAGGAAAGATCATGTTCCACTTGAAGCTTAAATAGTCACTTAAAGCGTCTTGGTTTTGAATGTAAATTTGAAAGTTGTGAGTTGAAACTTGTAGAAGATTACAGCCTTTTTTATATACAAGAGAGGAGCTTTAGCTTCAATGGATCAGTCAAAAATTAGAAACTTTCTGTTGCAAGGTGATGGGAATGATTTGATGTGGCTCACACAGGTACACAGAATAAAAACACAGCATTGGAGGAAAAATATAGAGTTGAGAATAGTTTGGCTGTAATATTTTTAATATTTGTTGTAGCCCTTCTTTCCCTCTTCTCTGTGCACTTATTGAATAGCTGTTGTGCTTAGTATTTACACCAAGGTCTCCTATTGCACTGAGGCTTTAGTGTTCCTCACTTGTAAGTCGCTTTGGGTAAAAGCATCTGGCAAATGAGTAAATGTGAACAGCCTGATGGGAGGAGCTGGAATAAGTTATGGAGGGCGTGTTAGGGTTCCTGTGTAATGAGGGCTGTTTTTTACGTCTAACTGCCTGGGTGTACAGTTCTGATAGTGAGGACTGGGTGGTGCCTTTTATCTTACTTGTGTGGTTAATGAAAGTTGCATGGTGCAAGAGTTTTTTTTATCTATTTATTTTTTTGCTTTTCTTTTTATCAGAAAGTTCTACCAGGATATGGACTTGAAAGTGATGAATGACTCAATGAGCAACCTGTGGACAGATGTTCAAATGTCTCTTCTAACATTAAAACCTCTGAGTTGTACTGTCCACTTTAAGGCCCAGGTATCTGAAGACACCCACCTGCTCCACCACCTGCCCTTTAATTCCTTTCCAACATCAAGGCATTTGATTAGAGCTGGACTCCGGTCTCTGCCCATCATGGTGTTGAGCCCTTGCTGTGCCTCCCTTGCTTTTCCAGTGGTGAACTTTTCTCTAAATCACTCACCCTCTATCAGGTCACCACACAAAAGTGCCACTTTCTTTTCATTTATGCATACTTTGAGACCTGTAGTAACCCAGGGCTTGTTGTTTGGGACCAGCCTGACATGCTTAGATTGCATAACAGTGTCAGCATAATAAGTCACTTAGGAAGGAGATTGAGACTGTTGGCAGGTTTAGGTCAGACTCTGCTTTGGTAAAACACAAATCAGTCAGTTGTTGGCAGCCTCTGACTTTCTCAATTGAGTCCATATTTTAATTTTTTTTAATTTTCTCTGGAAATTGTCTGTCTTCAGTTTTTGTCTGTAGTAGTTGAAGTCAGAAGTTTACATACACGTATGTTGAAGTCATTAAAACTCATTTTTTTCAACCACTCCACAGATTTGATGATTTCAAACGGGTGGCAGCATCATTTTGTGGGGGTGCTTTGCAACAGGAGGGACTGGGCCATGTCAAAAAATAGATGGTATTATGAGGAAGGAAAAATGCATGCATATATTGAACTAACATCTCAGCCAGGAGGTTAAAATTTGGTTGCAAATGGGTCTTCCAAATGGACAATGACCCCAAGCATACTTCCAAAGATGTAGCAAAAAGGCTTAAGGACAACAAAATCAAGTTATTGAAGTGGCCGTCACAAAGCCCTGACTTCAATCCATTTGAAAATTTGTGGGCAGAACTGAAAAAATGAATGTGTGCAAGGAGGTCTACTACTCTGACTCAGTTCCACCAGTTCTCTCAGGAGGACTGGGAAAAAATTCCAGAAACCTTTTGTAAGAGGCTTGTGGAAGGCTACCAGAGCCGTTTGACCCAAATTAAACAATTTAAAGACAATGCTACCAAATACTAACTAATACTAAGTGTATATGAACTTCTGACTTCTGATGGAAGAAAAAAACAGCTGAAATCATTCTCTCTACTATTATTCTGACACTCCATGTTCTTAAAATGAAGTAGTGATCCTAACTGACCAAACACAGTAATGTTTAGTAGGATTAAATGTCACGAATTGTGCAAAACTGAGTTTAAATGTATTTGGCCAAAGTGTATGTAAACTTCTGCCTTAAACTATAGTGTGAACACAAACGGTCAGATCCACTACTCACTAGAATAACATATATTCATTGTCTTGCCTTTTTCTGTCTAATCAGTTTTCAGCTGCTTTAATATATAAGCTAAGGTTCATTAAAAACACGTAAGACTTGCTGTCATAGTCACTGCTCGGGTACAAGTTCTGTCATTTACCGCCCACCGGGACAAACAATCAGATATCATTCCTTTGAAGTTAACCCTGTCAGAGCAGAGACTTTACAGACTCTATCACACTAGCTGACTTGATTCAGAGATGAATTTCCTTTTGCTTTTAGTGTTTGAGTTCGAGGCACAAATGCATGATGCAGTGTTCTTTTAGTTGAGTGGATTTGTAATTACACTATGACACACAAAAGAGACTTAAGTGGGAACAGCAAGAAGTAATTAAGGATTCTTTATTAGCTTTATTATTGCTCAAAATCCTCCTACATGTCATATTTGTATGATTAGGGTCAAGTGTTAAGGGGTTAATGTCATGTAGGAAGAGCAGCTGGGAGGAGTATCAAAGAGGGGAGGAGCACCGTTGCGTCATTTACAGAGAAATGAAACTTTGTGGTTCTGCACAAAACATAACAACTGGTAAACGCAGTTCAATTTGTCCATTTGTGTCTGAAGAGAGGCAGCAGAGCTGAGCATCAACAAAGGTGAAGTGCGACTCCTGGATTTACCCAACAATACTATGATGTTGTAGGATATTTGTAGATTTTATGTATATTGAATTGATTGGTTCTCTCCTCTAGATAGAAAATGGACTCAGCCAGTAGTTTCCTGTCTGAAGATCAGTTCCTGTGCTCCGTCTGCCTAGATGTTTTCATCGAGCCTGTTTCTATTCCATGTGGACACAACTTCTGCAAGACATGTATCACCAAACACTGGGAAGGCAAAAACCAGTGTCACTGTCCACTGTGCAACAAGAAGTTCAACAAAGGGCTCAAACTTTGTGTCAACACCGGATTCAGGGAGGTTGTGCAGAATTTCAAGAAGCATTGTGTCATATCTACAAATAATGTCCCTGTTAAACCAGGGGAGGTGCCATGTGACTTCTGCCTTGGCATCAAGTTCAAAGCCTACAAAACATGTTTGGTTTGTTTGGCCTCTTATTGTGAAACACACCTGGAGCCTCATCAGAGAGTTGCTGCCTTAAATAGACACAAACTGACTGATCCTGTGCAGAACCTGGAGAACAAGATTTGCAAGAAACATAATTGGATTTTAGAGCTCTTCTGCAGGAATGACCTGACTCGGGTTTGTGTCCTGTGTACAGAACATAGCACTCATGATACAGTCCCATTAAAGGAGGAGTATGAAAAGAAGAAGGCACAGCTAGAGCAGAAAAAGGTGGAAGTACAGGTGATGATACAAGAGCGACAAAAGAAGGTTCAGGAGATAAAAGAAGTAGTGGACACCAAGAGGAATGACAAAGATGAAGCCCTAGCAAATACTGTTCAGGTCTTCAGTACTTTGGTAGCCTCGGTTCAAAGCAGCATGACTGGGCTGATGAGTGTGATTGAAGAGAAACAGAAAGCAGCAGAAAGACAGGCTGAGGTGCTGGTCAAAGAGCTGGAGAGGGAAATCAATGAGCTCCAGGGGAGCAGCACTAAACTGGAGCAGATCTCACGCACTGAAGACCACCTTCAGTTCATCAAGAGCTTCCTGTCCTCCTCCTCCTCCTTTCCACACACCAAGAACTGGTCTGACATCGGTATCAGTGGTCAGCACTGTGTGGAGGACCTGAAGAGAGCTATGGTGAAGCTGGATGTGACGCTCACCAAAGAGACGGAGCGAGCTACTCAAGAATTCAGGGCGTGCTGTGGTAAAATCCTTGCTGAAGAAACTGACACAGTGAAGAAAGCTGCACTAACAGTCACAGATCTAGAGACTCTACCTAAAGGTGTCAAGTTGGACGCAATCCGGCAGCAGTATGCAGTGGACATGACCTTTGACCCATGCACTGCGAACGATCTGCTCCTGTTTTCAGAGGATTTAAAACAAGTGCGAACTTCTCACCTTTGGTGGTTTGCAGATGAAGTCCCACACAAATTTAACAGATATGCCTACGTCCTGGGAAAAAAGGGCTTTTCTGAAGGGAGATTCTACTTTGAGGTTGAGGCCACAAGGAAGACTGGCTGGGATTTAGGAGTAGTCAGAGAGTCAACGCGTGGAAAGAAGGCACCCACACCAAACCCCAGGAATGGAGTCTGGATCATTAGATTGAGGAACAACACCAAATGCACGGCTTTAAATAACACCACTGTCAACCTCTCCTTGAGAAAGAAACCTGAGAGGGTCGGGGTGTTTGTAGATTATGAGAAGAAGCTGGTCTCCTTCTATGACGTGAATACTGCATCTGTGATCTACTCTTTCACTGGCTGCATATTCAATGAGAAAATCTTCCCATTCTTTAGCCCCGGCCCCCCTGAGGATGGTATAAACTGTGCCCCCCTGGTCCTCTCACCTGCCAAAGACTCAACCACGTGGGAAAAGTTTTCAGAGTCTGTAGGCCTGATTATTACTCTCATTGCTCTGGTTTTGATGTGGATGTAAAAAATATATCTTCTTTTTTTTTTTTTTACAAGGTCTAGAGTTGAAACAGATTCTGATGAAATCTAAATCCAATGAAATCTGATTATGATTGAGGTCAGTTCTTGGATATTTTAGAAAAACTACACCATGCATACTAGTATACAGACCCGCAGACGACCTGTAGACTCAGTTTAACTGGAAATAATTACTTTCTTCCTCAGTAAATTATTTTTGATATTTGTTGTATACAATGTTACATGTTTTTTTCCCATACCTTCAGAGTGTATTTTTGTAATTATACTAATCATGCTCATTTGACAAAAGTCTTTTAAAAAAAGAATTGAACTAAAAAGGTGTTTTACAACATCTTAAAAAGCTTTATGCAGTAGTGGATGTACTTATAGAGACAGAGAGGGTTTAAACCAGTGACCCCTTCCAGTTACAAACTCTGTCTGTTGGTTAATTATGTGTAACAAAATGGCAATATATCATATACACCAAGTCTGTAAATCACAATACATGCTTTGGAAGTTGTTATTATGACTTTGCATGCTTGCTTTGTCATTTGCTCTTGAATTTCCTCTTTGATACGCAAACTGAATTTACATAAAGTTTTGCTTCTCAATGAAACATGATCGTAGTGTCATTTCTGAAATGATTCGACCACTGTAAACATTTAGAGGATCTACTGTGCCTCAGCCTGCTGAGCTGGTATCAGTATGTTTATTCTCCCTAAAGTGCTCAGTGGGATTCTACTTTCATGTCACAGGTTGAAGATCACTGTTGTGAAAATGGCGACCATGGCTCTATTCAAATACACCACTAGAGGGAGCAATCTACTCACCTTTCATACAAACAGCAGTGCTCACTTCCCAGTCGATTCAGATAGAGATAAAAACATGTTAGTTTAGACAAGAAACATTTTATTTGAGCCACTGAGCGACCACATTTGAACTTTGAGACACAGATATTATTCTTTTGAAGTTAACCCTTTAAGAGCAGAGACTTTGCTGACAATATTGCACTAGCTGACTTGATTCAGAGATGAATTTCTGGCTTTTAGTGTTTGAGTTAAAGGCACAGATGCTTGATAGTGTTTTAGTTGTTTTTTTTTTCTCTTTTATTGTCATTGTCATTAAAGCTTGTGAATTAATTACTCGTCCCAGACTGAGACTAAAATCAAAAGTTTGTTAAACACAAATTTAAACAGAACAATGAAACTGCATTATGCAACACATGTCTATATGTTTAACGTAGATATTGCTGCATATATTGCTATATATATCAGACTTTAAACAGTTTAAAGTATTAGAGAAGAACATCTTGGGTCAGTTGACATGTACTTTGTTAAAAAGACTCATTGCATTCTTGTCCCCGTTGGGATTAACTGTAAGCATTTACATGATCCCCTGACTTTTCATCAAGCATCATCACATCAACACTTTCAGTTCTTGTTTCTGACAAAATACCTGTGAAAACATTCCCATCAGCCTCAGTTGTAGTTTCTGTTGCTAATTACTGCTAACAGGCTAAATACCTGATCACCACGCCAGCTGGTCACAAACTTTACATGAAAGAAAGACAATTGTTTGAACATGGAATATGATAAAGCTTAAAATCTGTTTGTGTAACCTGTTGGTACTTTGCTCTGCGTCATGAGGATGAAAAAACATTGCACACTGAACAAAATCACTTTCAATTAATTTCAATTCTTATATCATCTTGTTCCCTCTGAGGTTTAACTGGCAAACCTGGTTATTTTTGTCACGTTTTACTGACCGGTACCAGCAGCTGAACACATCTGTCATCCCACTCATGCCTAAAAACCAGGTTTAACATTCCTTCACAGTAATTCAATAGATGAACTAAGAGTAATAAAATGTCTCCGGAAACCAGCCAGGTCTAGTCTACACAGTATTCTGTCTCAAACGCAGCAGCCAATAATTCAGACAGGGAGGCGTCAAAGAAAACATGGATGGCCTAAAAACATGTCAGCTGTGAAGTTTGAGCTGCAGCTTCGTGGTTGCTCAGCTGGTCAGATCATTTCATTTTTCAGTCCAGCACCCAGTCCGTCATTCATTTGGGAAATGCGAGATTGTCAGCTAACCAGTTGAGGAAAATAAAACAACTCACACCACACACACACACACACACACACACACACACACACACACACACACACACACACACACACACACTCACACACACACACACATTTTTAAAATAATCATAAAGCCTGTTCGATTGAGGCTCTGTGATGCTGTTCCAAAAATCAGAGAAGTGCTTAAAGGAGCAATGCATTAAACTATCCAAAATTAATCTTACTACAGTATGAAGCTGACCCTGGTATTTTGGGCACATTTGCATTTTAAGGATTTAATGAGATGCCCATATTTAGAGAGAAATCCAAACACAATTACAGGTAACATTTAACAAGACAAATGTCAACAGCAAAACTAGCACCACAAAGTTTTTTTTAAAACTGAATGCTAATGTCTGCATGCTTATAATGACAGTGCTAACATGCTGGTGTTTAGCAGATATATTGTTTGATGTCTGTAAAAAAAGATTTCATTGCATTCCATCCATTGTTCAGATATTTCAGTCTGGACCAAAGTGTTGGACCGACCAACAGACAAACCAGCATGGCCTGAAGCCATGCCACTAGCATCTGTCTTTCTCATGTTTTCATCGCATAACTGACTCTGTAATCTTAACATATCTACAGTGAGTGCAACACGAGAACAAGCTTCAAAACCTAGATCCACAAACATAACCATCATGTAACATGACCACACACCTGTGCTGGGCAGAGACTATAGCTGACCAGATGTGACGACCACAGTGTCAGTCCCCCGCTGATTCAAGCTACTGATGAGCTAAAGTTTCCACTGAGGAGCTATTTTAGGAAGCAGGAGCAACTCTACTGGGGATAAGATGGTTTTCCACTGTGACCCTCCAGGTGGGGTTCACTGAGAGAGGTCAAATGTCACCACCCTCTGTCAGTGAGGCCTGGAGGGTTTGATAGCTCCTGGGTCCCATTTGATGACATGAACATCCTGGACTGTTGAAATGGAAACCACAGGAAGAGGTTTACCCCAAATGCAGATGTGTGAAAACACTCAAGATGTGTGTCCATTTTCATATCTAATATTATTTTAGAAGGGAAATGATAGATGATATGATAGTAGTTTTTAAAATAACATACTAAAACCAAAGATATTGGCTTGACAAATTTTGAGAAAGATGACAGTGCTGATAAATGTAGAGCAGCCATGTTGTTAGTGTTAGGTAATACTTGCCATACATTTGACTGACCTAAAACCTACATAGCACATCCATGAAAACTGCATTTTTAACATAGCAGTGTGATGTATGATCAGCCACAAATCAAACAAAAGTCATTTGTCATTAAGGCTATGTCATTTTCTCCTCATTTGCTTAGAGGGAAATCTCAGCTGCACCTTTTGGGCTCTATCCTCTATGTTTTCCTACTTGTCTCTAATATCCTCAGTCTAAAATCTAAGAGGTAATTCCTTCTTGATTCACTTTGTGCAATAAACTCAGCCTGAAGCTTCAACTCATTTACATACAAATCATCACCCCCTTTTATCAGCCCATTGAACTGCACCTGCACTGTAACATGATATATGCACTTCTTGGTACCCCTTTCCCACCATTACCATAAATGAAAAATATTTTATTATGACAATAAAGAGATTCGAACCTTGGTAGAAAAAAATACACATTTATTTTCAAATGTTGAGTTTTGCAGTATTTTTCCAACAGATACAGAAGCAAGCAGTGTGAAAAAAACCACATACCAATATATACAATTAATGTTTACATTGTTACCACTGTGTATTTGATACACACTCAGTCAAACAAGCTATACAGCAAGTATTTACAAAACTTTTGTCACTATAAAAATAGCTGTTGTTTATGTGCACTACCTTTAACAGACAGAGTAATAATATCCTTTCTAGAACAAAAACAAACAAACAAACAAACAACATAGATTTGTATTTATTGATGGGAACATAGACATTATGTATTTTGCAGCAGGGGGAGGGTGATGTTAGGTAGATGTTAGAAATGACACTAAGGCACCACAGTGACCTCTCTTTCATAGTTTGAGTCCTTGGTTTGGACGAGGTCAAAGTACACAGTCCAGTTATTTCAAAAATGTGTCCCATAGTTGGAAAACTTCCACGGCAGTGGAAGGTAACATCTCACTTTATAATCCTCTAATTCCTTCTGCCCTCTTGCTGCTGTTTTATCCATGCAAAGATAATGGGATTAGAGTATTATTATTATTATTATTTATTATTATTATTATTGTTAAGTGTTTTTCTAGATTAAGGTGTCACAAGTGTCACAGCTCAGCAAATGATGAATTTAGAGGATAGATAGTACTTGAAGCTGTTGGCTACATTATATTGCCAAAGATTTCTTCCTCAGAATTTAGGCTGAACAAAACACAGTGGTTTCATGTTCTTGTCTAAAAAATGCTAAATTCTGCCTGACTGGTCAATCCTAGTGCAGATCAAACCGGTAGGTTGTGATCCAGCCATGACACGGCTGCGTTTCTGCACGACCCTGTGATTGTGCACCTTTATACTATTTCACCTCTTGAATAGAGACTTTTTTAACTAAACCCCCACAATCTCCTCCAAGTACATAAGAGCAACTACAAACCAGTGTCCAACCAAAGTCTGTTGTGAATGACTGGTAGTATACTCTATTTCATCTCCAGAAGCGGAGAGAATCAATTTGTCAAAGTGCTTTACTTAGCAATAGTGAAGATGACACTAATTTGTCCACAGGATGATACACGATTAAGTCCCTCTTGAAGAGAGACTATTTTAACTAAACCCCCACAATCTCCTAAGTTTTAGGACTATCATACTGTATATATCATGTTGTCGTCTTGTTTTAAACTAAAATTTAGAGTCAATGCAACTCATGTTTGTGGAGAAGAGGATGCTCCTGTCCTTCAACCCAACTCAAGGAATCCCTGGATTTACACACACTCATCAACTACAATCTGGATTTACTGTTTATTATAACCTCATAATGTTCTTATGGTGACTCTCTGACCTATGACCTCATGCCGCTGTATCCCAGCTCTGACGGCTGCCACACAGCGTTGTCTCGGGGGCAGTTGCTGTGGCAGGCGCAGGTCAGGATCACCATGACCGGCCTCCTGGAGGTTTTACCATTGGCACATTGGAACTCCACCAGGGTGGTCTTGGTTCTGTGGGGGGTGCAGCAACGGCCGTCTGTGCAGGTGCCACAGTAGCGAGGTTTGTAGGCCTGGACACTGGTGCAGTTTTTATAGGAGAGGTGGACGGCTTTGTCGCTCCTCACCATCCTCTGGCACTTACTGCCTCTCTGCAGGGAGAGAAAGTGCTATTTACTGACTGAATGTGTATATCTCTGAAGAAAAGAATTACATTAAGTGTGATCTTTGTTTTAACAAAGTCCACCGGGTACTGAACAAAATCTACATTAGCTTATATAAAAAAAAGCAGATGCAGTGCTCAAACATAAAGAATACAGCAACCATGTTGTTCCAAAGAACTTCCCAAAAAGTACCTTTGGTGCAAGCTGTGTCAGCTGCGTCTGATCCTGCAGGTCGTCACAGGGTCTGATCATACACAGACGGCTCTGCTTCACCATCTCACACCGACGGTTCTTATTGGTCACTCTGGTGGACAGCCCCATGCCACAGGTTCGAGAGCAGGCCCCCCACTCTGTGGTCTGCTCAATGCAGTTCAGGCTGGGGTCCCAACTGTCAAAGCTCACCGTCTCCTCCTGACGATAGGCTAAACACACAGAAGGACTATGGGTTAGAGTGGAGAAAGAAATCATCATAACTCACATAATTCAGATAAGTAGACAGAGCTGTTTAGCCGAAAACTTGAAAATGACCAACAACAAATCCAAGATTATCATAATAATAATATAATATTCAGTGAAAATTAACACACTCATACACTGCAGTGCTCGTCTCTTGATAGGCAACGCTCTATAAACAAAAGTTTAAAAGCATATTCTGAGTTTTCATTTGGACTCAACTAACTGCAGAGTGGTGTATTACATTAATGTTTCACATTCCAGACTGAGGTGACAACACTGTCTCAAAACTTTTTGTTTTCCTCCTCTTTCCTCATCCATTATTCTATTATCCTCTTTCCTTCCTTCCTTGGGTCCTGTTTCCTCACCCTCACCAACAGGTCAAAGAAATGTACACAACCTTTTAACTTCATGCCTCACACTGGAGTGACATTAACATCAAAGAGGAATAGGCAATTGTATGTGCGTATCTGTCTATATGGTCTGCTCATATGGTCCATCTCATTTCATCTCAACCAACTTCCAGTCTACTCACCTGCCATGGCAAAGCCGCCCAGTGCACTGGCCTCAGCTTGGGGCTCACACACCCACGTCTCACAGCACTCTCCAGGTAACTGGACCCTGCGTGGCATGGGGCAGTCTGGTCCAGGCAGCATCACATCAACTTTGCAGCGCGGCAAGCAGGCGATCTGTCCGTCACGACACATACACTGGTACTTACAGCTGGGGAAGAAGGTCTGGCCGTTCTGATAGACAGTACCATCCAAAACACACACATCTCCCTCATGAGCTGGAGGAAACAGAGAAACATGGCAGAACAGTTATGTTTTAGTTTTCAAAAATTACTCATGGCAGGACCCACTTGTGTACTTATAAAGCATTTACCATATAGTGGACATCCTGTATACGTCTGTAAATGATATCACCCACAACAGCCCACTCACCTGCACAGATACCAGTCCTCTTGTGGACGTCAGCCGTGTAGTCGCACTGCAGCCCTTTACGCGTGTCACAGGGGTTCATTTCAGAGCAGACTTGTCCTTTCTGACGGGCGCACACCAGGCAGCAGGCACAGTCGTCCAGGATCAGAGGCACCCCAGGGAGACACATGGGGGGCTCCTTAGGGCACTGGCATCTCCTCAGACACGCCTGGGACCAGACTGCTGTAAACACCTGGGTGGGAAAGAAAATCAATTTTGGTGTTTTACTGTACATGTTGGTGAATCTCATCCCCTTTAGACCAATTAATATGATCAATAAATGAATATTGACAATTGGCATTAAATGTTACATCCAAAAAAATGCAAATCACAGAATACAGAAGCTGGTAAACATTTTGTAAGGTAGTGTAATATTACATAACTTGTGAAATAAGGTGGAATTAGCAGAGCAGCAAACAATAGCTTCAGTTACTTGCTCAACGAAATTGATGTTTAATGTGGGAAAAAAGAGGCTAAAACTTTGTTTTCCATTAATAGAATTAAATTAGGATACGCTTTAAAGCTTTATTATTAAAGACGGTCATCATCAAAGAAACATTGTCTTTGTGTCTTCCAATCTTCAAATGATTTGCTGAAAGATAATCTAAAGTCTTCAACAGTGAAAGGATTTTTGTTTTGAAAATAAAATATTGGCATTATTTTAAACCCGTTGCTACACTATAAAATGCTATCTGAATGAAAGTCACACAAGGATACTCGGTTAAAGTTGTAATGCCTACCTGTGCTGTAAAAAAAAAGACAAATAGAGCTCTCTCTGAAAGGCTGAACATCTTCATGTTAAGTAGAGCAGAATCAAAAATATCTGCAGTCAAGAAAGTCTTGAGTTGTCCTTGCAGGAGCTGAATTGAGTCCTTTGGTTCAGGGTTGAATGTTCCCTCCTCTCTGGCTGTGGCGTAGCTTGCAGAAGGTTGTACTCTCTTTGTCGTTCTGGCTCAGGACTCCGGAGAGGTGGGCCTTATATAGCGGGGCTTTCCTGCTGGCACCATGACGACAAACAAGAAGGAATGTTGGAGAGATCGCCCAGAGTGTTGGAGGAAGACGAGAGTCACATTTTATTGTGAGATCCTGTCAAAGAGAATACCACAAACACACTGAGAGAGGTTTCAGACTTTACAATTTAACATTCTGCTAACATTACTTTTGTTTTTATACACACATGATACACACATTGTATCCATTTTATAATTAATCACTGTAAATTGTATACTTGGACATTTGTTAAACACTAAGTAATTAGTTCATTTTCTTCCTCACACAAGTATAGTTAGCAGTCTGTGATCTTCATGCTATTACATGGGACCTGGGCTCCTTACTTTTTTCCCACTGACACTGGGTGGTGACCCTTTGACCTCTCTCCCCAAACCCCACCTGGGAGGTCACAATGGAAAACCCTCTTATTCCCTGTAGAATCGTTTCTGCTTCCTAAAATAGCAACACAGTGGAAACTTTGGTTCATCAGTAGCTTTGATCGGTGGGGGGTGGCACTGTGGTTGACATATCTGGTCAGAGACATGTTATGGTTTCTTCTGAGCAGAGGCATGTGGATGGATTTTGAGGGGAAGCTGACTGCATACCTGAGTTTCTTTCCAGTCCTTCGAGTAAGACCGGCTTTCATGACTCCCTCATACATTCCCTCAGACCCTATCAAAAGTGACAAATATGGACAGACATCAAAGAATGGATACCTGCTACTTGTAAATCAAAAATTCAACTCTCAGCCTGAGTTCTGAATTTTTGGACAACTGAAAACACACCCCTGTATAAGAAATTAATTCTAAAAACCAAACAAAGAGCCAACAAAAAACAACATCCCTCTTCTATAGAGTTGAAAAGAATTGATTATATTAGAAATCATTTGGTCATGGAAAAGGCTAAGTGAGTATATAAGAACCTGTCTGAGCTGAGTGTGAGTGTAAGATGAAAGCAAGAGGAGGAATATTTACATTTTCATTTACTCATTTGGCATACGCTTTTATCCAGAGCAACTTACAAGTGAGGGACATAAGTGTGAATGTACATTTATGTTTTGCATGTATGTGAGTGTATCCATGTTTCGGGTTGGACATCAACCTATGATATTCTATTACATTATACACTCAGTTGTTAGTTTATTGCAAAACTGACGCAGTCTTATACATCAGTCTTGAGAGAGGCAGCTACAGTTACAGTACTGTTGAATTGTATTATGTTATACCGAGAAGTGTTTCTTCACGCAATACTCAACATCACTGCAAACTACTACTACTCCACAAAGTTCAATCATAACTTCTCTAAATAAGATTCAACAACAACAACAACAACAACAACAAAAGATAAAACCTTTGTGAAAGCTGTAGGATTATTGTATTAGACCACATTAGTTTTAGATATGCGATAGCTAGATGTACTTAATAAACTGGCAGCTGACATTGTGATGGCTTAAGTACTGAGATTCTGTGTCCACGAGGGGTTTTTAATTTTCTGCTATATTCATGTAAAAGTGTTTTTACAAGAAAGTAAAGCTGACATTGACATGTGACACTGTTTGAGTTACAAAAAATAAACAAACAAAAATACGGATGCTAAAACTCACTAGTTTTTTCTCTACAGGTGGGTTACACAGCAGTATGTGTACAGTTGATTCCTGTCCCACTTTTGCGCCCTCCACTGGTAGTTTGAAAAAGATGATGTAGCAACTCCTCTAATTATCAAAACTTTCCACAAATAAGAAATTCGAATTATCAGAATAATCGTGTGATATCAGAAAGGTGCTAAAAATAAATAATAAAATAATACAAATGTACACGCAGTGGTTGTAATTTTGAGTTCCAGTTACATTGACTCTTCACTTTGGTCGCCCACAGGGCGCCGACCTCACTCACTCACTCAGGCTACCGAGATTTCAGCTGGCGGGGTAACTGAAGCAGGAATGTGGCTACTAACCAAACCCAAGTTGGTAAAGTGAGCGACTGAGACATTTATTGTCAAACACAGAGCTAATGAAAAAAACAACAACAACAACAACAACAAGACTGTGCGGAGAAGCTGGAAGATAAACACACCGACCAAGGCTGTGTCCTTTTTACGCTGATACAGCGTGAAGCTAAATGCTAACTGCTAGCATAATGTTAGCCTGTTAGTGATGTGACCAGTCGCTAATTCACCTTCAAGAGCCTCCCTTCAAGTTCGGATGTTTGGTCTACACCAAGATGATCCAGGTCCTTATCAGATTGACCACGTTTGTCTATTGTTCTGGAGTTTGTTTCATGGCGGATAACTCTATCGAAAGGCCGCAGACAACACACCTGGTCCAAGGTAAGACAGCTTTCTTTGCTACTTTGCTAATGTTTATTGCTGGTTTAATAAGCAGTGCAACAACAACAAGTTTGTTTAACTCCATTGGCTCATTCTTGGCTAAATATGTACTGTACTCCAGGTTTGATAGAGATGGCTTACTGATAAGTATTAGCTTTTTTATTATGATTTGTCAGTGATTTAGTGGTGTGCATATCTTTGCAAGTTGTTGTGTCTCCTTTGCTATTCAAATGCAGCTCATTTGAGTTTTATAGTTTTGTAGGTTTTTGTAGCATTTATAGTTAATTATGTTACAAGGTATTTGAGGTCTGTGGTCACATTTATTTTGTCGTATTTTTTAGATACGAATTTTCAAGACCCAGATATTCAGGCTGATTAGAGCAGCTGATTAGAGCAGCTGCTTGTGTGGACATGCCCACTCAGGCCTGAGAGGAGGTCAAATTAGCCAAAATAAATAAAGACACCAGGTGTAGTTCCTCTAAGAAGAAGAAATCCAGAGCACTAACTTGAATTTGAACTGATATTTGATGAAAGAAAATTTGGCTTATAGGGGAATGCCTTTAAAGGAGTAGGTAGTTACAAGTTGACGTAAAGTCTGAGTTCAATGTTCATCATTTATTTTTCTTAATACTTGGCATATACCATTTGGTTACACTCACTGCATCAGTTTTATTTATGGCGGTATCTGTTGTCTGTTGCTATAGCAGTTTGCTTGTCTACAAAGTCAGATATCTAAAATATGTGACCTAGAAACCGTTAAAAAATTCCCGCATCAGGCCAGTTGTTTTGGATAACATTTTTCTTCCTTTATTAATGAAATATCTCACCTTCAAACACCTTGAGGAATTCTTGGTCTTTACTGCCTGACCCAACACATCTAGCTTTATAGCCTCTCATCCACATAGAGAATAAGAGAAAGAAAAGTGAGGCTAAGGACAGCTTTCTAAATGACCTGTGATTCCAGCAGGAGGTAGATAGCTCTGCCAAAATCTTGATTCAGTGTTGTTCAAACAGTTTGCAAGTGGAAGTTGAAGAATGTCAAACTTCACAGGATGGCTGTGTTTGCAGACTCTGTGCGGATTTCTGCTCCTTTACTGCTTCTACTTTGGTCTTTTTCCAGCAAATTCTGTGTCTGAAGAGTGAGACAAACCAGGAGATGCTACCAGACATATTTTTCACAGCTGCTGTACTCACAATAACATATGAATTTGGTTTTATACCTGATATAGGTATGCTCTGCATTTTTTTTCCAAAAATACTTGGATCTCTATATTTAGTACCCTGTGGTGATCTGAACGATAGTAATGATTAAATTATGAACATTTGCAATAGGCTGAAAATACAAATACATCCTGGAAAACATAACAGCATAGGCTTATTTGCTGTTTGACAGCTTGGCACAGTATGGCAAAGTGTGATATCTCCCTGGAACGAGGTGGGAAGTCTACATACGCACATTCACAGTATCTGTGAAATATTTCCACTCTACTTTAGAGAGGAGAGAGAGGAGCATGTGGAAGAAGACAGACAGAGGGACAGAGATGGAGATGAAGTAATGAGCGCAAGTGAGGTAGTTGGCATCTTAAAGAGAGAAAAAACTCACGTAGGTAGGTTGACTGGACGTTTCTTTGTGTGCCCCTGCTTGTCAGTCTTTTTTTGTCCAGAGGGGGTCTGTGGTAGCACCAGTGCTTGTTGAGATTTTACATGTGTTATTATCACACTCATCTTTTGCTTAGCATGAAAACGCACCTCATCTTCCAGTGGCAGGAAATGTTTCAGTGCCACTTTAAATTGAGGTTTGACACAGTCATTTCAAAACAAAGACAGATCACACAGTGAAAGCCTTCAACTAACAGTTAGTCTGTCAGCCTGCTGGCTGTTGGCATTGGACTCTGCTCTATGGCTTCAAGCCTTTTGCCAAGTGGTCAGGCCACACAGTCGATGCCGCCTCTGAGAGCTCAAAAGGATTTGCTCAGAGTTTACATGGACAGTCCAGCAACATTTTACAACAAATTATATAGTAACATTTGTGGTCAACAGTCTGTGTGGCGCAGCAGGTTGAGGATTCAACATCTTCTTTGAGCCTTTCCTTATGTCATGTTGTTCTGTCCACATCTAGGAACTTACATTTTATTATATTCTGTTGCAGACATTGAAGTTGTCTTTGTGTTTTCAGTTTATGGTCAATATTCTGCTCTCATGAGTTATAGTTTCAGACCCCAAATTCATTTTTGGCCATTTTCTTGATGAATTTAATGCAGTACAATTAATTATTCATTAGTTTGGACAAAATTCTCTTTGAAGTTTTTTTGGGAAATAAAGTTTCCTCATTCACTGTTGTTACTGGCACTGTGAGGATATTCATTCATGTGTCCTTGCTTGCAGACACAGTATTGGTTCAGGGAGGAATGAACTCAGATGAGGCAAATCATATTGGTCTGATGTTTTTCTATTCCAGTAAGTCATTTTTTTTTGTTTATTAAAAAGGTCTTTTGCTATTTCCATACTCTTCTTCTTCATAATATGTCATTTTATTTATTTTATTTTATTCCAACACTAGTTTAATAACAGTGACTTGATTGTTTGTGAGAACCTGACAACACCTGAAAATCAT